TCACAAACCAGTAGATATCCCCTGATTATACATTTGGTCCGGAATGTTGGAAGCTTTTAAAGATTTGTTTCTCCGTTTGGAAGTTATAAAGATATGAAACTTCCTTAGTAATCGGAGAATCAACCCTTACTTTTTTTGAAATAACATATCATTACTATTTTCCTCAAGTGATCAGCAATCGTGTTAAATACTTTTTAACCAAAGTTATTTGTAACTTAAGCCCTCACTTTTTGAATTAGTGTCTTCAAGACTGGTTGCCGCCACCCCTGTGGCCGAGTTCAATGTCCCGCTGCCGCGCCAGTCGTCCCCAATGCACAACAAAGTGTTGGACATTGTCGGTACAAATTTACCTTTCAGTTCTTTGTTGATCTTCTACCAGTCAGGCTAAGAAGTTTCGCTCCAAGCTTGTGTGCAGGTGGCACTGCGAATGATACATCGGAGGTTTTGAAGAGTCCTTATATGCGAAATATTGAAAGAGCGGCTATTAGAACCCCAGAGTCGATCCACGTTGTTTGGACATCGAGTATTTAACAAAACTAAAGGAACTGCATCCCACTCGTTCGCCTTGTAGTCTATAGTTGGCTTCTAATCACAAGCCGCCATAACTGTCTTCTGAATTTACCCCGATAAAAAGGAAACTGGAACAACTTTCCAATGTATTAAGGCAGATATTACGGGGCACTGTGCGGGTGCGCACCGTGAGCAGACAGCAAACTTCAAGACACCAATGACCGGCCCTTTATCCAACTCACACAATTTGATAGGTGTTGTTTCAGCGTTACACCCTTTTGCGAGCAAATTGGAAGTTTCTTCATCACGTCTTTGCTATATGTGTTTTTAAATCACTACACCTATATAATTCGCGTGCCCGAAGCGTCACAACTAGTGAGGGAACGTTGTCTCTCTTCTTTACAGGGCAATACATTTCTCTGTTGTATCAAGTTTTTTTAGAAAGCAAATACATACAGCCTTGGAGAGCACGTGAAATACGCATAAAACATCAAATGCCTTCTTTTTTTTCTTCAAAAATAAACGCTTTAACGACAGAAGTCACATTCAAGAGTCATGTGCAGCCCAATCCCCACAAGGCGGTTTATGCTTGCTTTCTAAAACAAAAAATTGATACACCAAAGAAATGTATGGCCAAATAAAGAACATTAACTACATTCGAGCGTCATCCATATATTTCACTTGAATCAAAATATAAAAATAAGGAAGCAAAAACAGTTTTGTCCACGTACATGTTTGTTAGTCAAGGCTGCCTAGATTTTTGATCAGAACCCAAGGCTCTTTGATCCAGTAAATTTCCAGCATTACAGGTGTTGCGTCGGACGGCAAAAGTGTACAAAAAGCGGAACTCATACTAAAAAAACACACAGTAATATTTCATACACCATCATCACAGCCAAACTTTGGTGTCACGATAAAAATAAATTTTTATTGTCAATTTTGCGAGCTCAATAATAAAAAACTAAAGTTACAAGAGGCACGAAGGACACTGTAATGATATTGATTGATTTATTAGTACAAAACAGTATAAATATATGAAATAACAATCAAAAGAAAGCTATTTCTTCTTCGACAGTATATTAGCGTTAAAACGCTTTGGTGGAGCTCACTTACGTTCGTGAAGTCACGACCAGCATTTGCTTCGCTGCGACGTCACGAGTTAGAATCTTGGATACTGATTATCAGTTTCAAACTAATTTCGATGGTGCGGTAAGAATCGTGATGGAAGCTTAGAGCCATCGCATCCTTAAAATAACAACATGAAATATATGTCTTGACTTGAATAAGTAATCTTTAAAATAATTAGCGTTTCAAAACCTCAGCCGGGGTCACACTGCTTACAGATGATAAAAACGACAGTCTCTTTATACAGATTAGCACGCAAGTCACCGCGAGATCCTTGCATCGAATGCCGTATATAGATGAGTACAAGAAAAAAAAAACATTTGGCACGTGGCTTTCGAATCAAGGATCTCGCGGTGACTCGCGTGCTAATCTGTATACACCTTTCCAAAAAACACTCGACCCCAGGGGCAACAAACCGTTTTCGAGCCCAGTCACTGAGTTTGAGGCTAGAGTCTCACCGGCGTCCCCCCTAACCCTAACCGAGGCGACTGTGATTTCAATAAGCGCAGCCTGCGTAGGCGCAGTTTCAAACGCTGCTGACGGCTGAATTCTTGTCTTTTCCCGCTATATTTTGTGTTTCATGGTACATGTATTTTCCCGAGGGCATTGAGAAAGCATTGTGCCACATGTAAAAAAAAAAGCAAAAAAAAAAACTGTAAACTGCTTTTGTTGGGTACGCGCCCAACAGAACGAATGCGACTGGAATGTACAGTTCTAGTTATTTTTTTTCTTCTTACGATAAGTTTTGACGGCGCCGCGGGATTCCCCGCATGTGAAACGACAAAGCGCTTTTCTGACAAAAATAAATTGCAACAGAAGAGGGCCGAAAGGCATGCATTTTTCACGCTCACAAATAACGTGTTTGCCGATTGACAGGACACGGACATACAATTTATTTATTTATTTATTTATTTACCCTCAAGGCCCCGAAGGGCATTACAGAGGGGAGTGGGGGGGGGGATTAGGTGACAGGGTACAGTTGTTGATACATGAAATATGATACAGTAATTAATGCACGCTTGCTTAGACACTTCAAAAATATTTACACAATGTTATAACAGTAATAACAACTAGAAAATGGTTAATGAAAACTAACAAACAAGGCATTTTTAAAATCAATAATATTGGTTATGGAGGCTATGTCAGCGGAAAGGCGATTCCAATCGGAGCTAGTACGAGGAACGAAGGAGTTATAATAAGTGTTAGTTTTGTAATTGGGGATACCGACTTTGTACTGGTGATCTACGCGGGATGAAACATAAGTAGGTGGCGTTAGAAGTTCATGGCGCATGAAAGGGTTATTATAATAAATCTTGTGAAATAAAGTGAGGCGAAAAATGCGTCTACGGTTCATTAGTGTGGGTAAACCAAGGGTATTTTTCATTGAAGTAACACTGGATGTACGATGGTAATTACAGAGTATGAAACGTGCTGCACGATTTTGAACCGATTCCAATGTTTCAATGATAGTATTATGACCGGGGTCCCAGATAGAACATGCATATTCAAGTTTAGTACGTACTAAAGTAGTATATAAAAGGAGTTTTAGTGACACTGGTGACTGTGAAAAATTTCGTTTGAGATATCCAAGCATGCGATTGGCGTTGTTAGTTACGTAGTTAGTGTGAGTTACCCAGGAAAGATCAGAAGTTATGTAAACACCTAAGTATTTGTAAGAGGACACAGACTGCAGCGGAGTGTCGTCAATGTAGTAATTCGAGCATATGTTAGTATGACGGGAAACTCTCATGGATTTACATTTATTAAGATTGAGTTGCATCAACCACTTGTCGCACCAGTCAGATACAGAGTTAAGATCAGATTGGAGAACAGAGGTGTCAGAGTTATTTGTTATTTCTCTATATAGTACACAATCGTCAGCAAATAAACTAATATTAGAGGAGACACATTCAGAGAGATCATTAATGTAGATGAGGAAAAGTAGCGGTCCTAAAACAGAACCCTGGGGAACTCCAGATCCTACGGGAGTCAGTGAAGAGTTAGTACCATTGGCATGCACAAATTGAGAACGGTTGGTTAAAAACGATTCTATCCAGCGTAGCACGTTCAGATCAATATTGAGGTTGCTAAGTTTTAATAGGAGTAGCCGGTGAGAAACTTTATCGAAGGCCTTAGAGAAATCAAGGAAAACGCAGTCTATCTGGGAGCCACGGTCAAGGACAGAATGAAGCTTATTAGTGAAAAGTAGAAGCTGTGTTTCGCAGGAAAATGATTTGCGGAAGCCGTGTTGAGTAGGGTGAAAAAAAGAATTCGATTCTAGGAAACATGCGAGGTTAGAATATATGATATGTTCGAGTATCTTACAAGGAATGGATGTTAGAGAAATTGGCCGGAAGTTATTCGGTGAGGAGTGGTTGCCACTTTTATGAATTGGAGTCACCTTTCCAACTTTCCAGTCTTCGGGAAGGCAGCCTTCCTCCAATGATTGCTTAAAGATCATTGATAGTATAGCTGATGAATACGATTTCGTGTTCTTTAAGAATTTAGAGTTAATATTGTCAATACCGGATGAAGAGGAGAGCTTCAGGTTATTAATTATTGCAGCTATACCGTCGTATGATATTAATATTGGATTCATTGGAAAAAAGTCAGGGCAATTAAAGTTGGGGTACACAGAAACATCGGTGCAAAAAAAAGATTGAATAAATATATCGTTTAGCAATGATGCACACTCATCATGGCCTACTGGTTCCCCATCTGTGTTTGTAAGCTTCAGGTCACCGTGGTTATCATTAGGTTTGATTAAGTTCCAAAAGTGGCGAACATTTGTAGATAAAATTGTGGGCAACGTGTTAGTAAAAAAATTGCGTTTTACTTCTAATACTGCACGTTTATATTCCTGCTCGGCGTAATGATAGGCGTTAAAATGACTCTCTTGTTTTGAAAGTTTGGCTACACGAAAGAGGCGTTTCTTTTTATTTGAAAGTCGTTTAAGTCTGGTGTTGTACCAAGGGGAATTACTTTTGGATGATAATGTGCGAACAGGAATATATGTGCTTATTAGATAGTTCACTTTGTTTCGGAACAGACACCAATTTTCATCTACAGACCGTTCAAAAAAATTTTCCACAAAATAACTCAGAAATTCACACAATTCAATATTTATAGCCGTAAAATTAGCTTTTCCGTAATCACGAATCGTTTTAACTATTTTCGGGGAATGACTTGTGGTTATATTTAAGGTGAAATGCAGCAATAAATGATCACTAAAACCAGGCAGATAGGTAATAGGAGAAACAAGGTCGGCGAAGGTTGACAATACAAGATCTAGCACTGAGGCACAGGAGGGCGTAATTCTGGTGGGGCGAGACACTAACTGAGAGAAATTGTAGTCCGAACATAAATTGAGGAATTTGTCACTGTCAGACGAAAAAGGACTTGAGTAAGCTGTTTCCGCCGACCACACAATATTTGGATAGTTAAAATCACCCAGAAGGATGACGTTTGGTGTGGGAGATCGCAAAGTCACTGTACTGATTACGTCATGAAGTTTGTTCAGAAAGCTATCGTCACTTGAGGGAGGGCGGTAACAGGCACCCAAGATATATTTTTTGTGATTCACGGAAAGGCAAACAAAGACTGTTTCGAGATCACTTGCAACATTCAAATGAAGGGAATCTATATGTTCGGCGACTGCAATCAACACACCTCCGCCTTGGCGAGCTTCCCTATCAGTGCGATAAATTTTGAACCGTTTGTTAGTAGTTAGGATTTCGTTATCATGAATTTTGCTAGAGAGCCACGTTTCTGTCAAAACTACAACATCAGCCCCGGTGGAGTCAATGGCAGAGCATAGATCATCGCGATTTCGCATGACACTTCGGATATTAGTAAACAGAACAGTAATTATTTCGGGCGCGAAAGAAGAACCACTACCCCTCGCACTATGTTAGGGCAAGGCAGATCGGGCAGATGCTGCGCGGGCATTTAAGTTTGGTGCCACGTTATTTTGCAACGATGAGGAAGGTTGATTATTATCGCCTCCAGGGCTTCTTGTATTTGAATTGCTCTTGCCCGGCCTTCTGTCATTTCCAACTTCATACACCCTGTCGTTCGCATTTTCATACATGAAACATTTATTGTTCACGTAAAGCTTATTGTAGCGCAGTTGGAAGACGCTCTTTTGTAATTTTCCAAAATCAAAAAGTTTCTGTCTTGCTAGGCGCGTAGCCGGAGAAAAATCTTCATTAGCCGTTATGCCGCAGGCTTTAAGCTTAGGTCGTGATTGCAAAATTGTTTGTTTTGTTTTGAAAGAAGAGAACTTGACAATCAGTGGCCTGCATCCTCCGACTGCGTACGAGCCAAGCCTGTGAGCACGTTCAACGCATTCGTCAGAAACTTGCAGACTAAGTGAAGTAGATAACCTATCTAATATTTTTACTTTAGACTGTTCCCAAGATTCGGAGGTGGAATCTTCAATACCGTGAAAGATAATATTGCTCCTTCTTGAGCGGTCCTCAATATCGTTCAGGCGCTCGTGCAGTCTTTGGTTGTCCTTAATAACAGACTGCATTAATCCCTCGGCAGCCAAGAGTTCTTCCCGGGTTGCATCGAAAGTTGCTACTTTGCACTCAACGCCTTCGAGCCGATTTTGGATGTCGGTAACCTTTAGTTCGACGGATTCTTGCTTACTTTTTAACTCGTTAATAGACTTAATTAGGCTAGCTTGGCCTTGGTCAATCTTGACCGTACGTTCATTTACATCTTGCAAGAGTTTGAACATGTCGTTAAACTGCTTGGCCTGATCGATAGACATAGGTCCCGGATTCGCCTCGACGTCACCGGAGCGTAACAAGAGAAGTTTTAATGTATCAGCGGAATGTAGGACAAGCATCGCATGTGTACACAACCAGTAATACAAAGAGCACAAAGAACAAAAAAAGCGCGATGACCGTGGGCACGGTAACTCGAGAAGCCATAGGTTATTACTTCGTCTAGAGTGTATAGAATACTGATATCTTACCTGTACGTAGAACAAGAAAGGGTTCGTCAGCGACATCGCCGCTAACGAGTCACCGTGCCCACTGGCGTAGGCCACACCATGCGCTGCTTTTGTAGCAATTGACGTGGCTGTCGCAGTCGATGGTCGCGCTAGGTGCGGCTGAATCGACGCAGGATTCTCGATGAGGGCGACGTCCTCCAAGGCCGGTGAAGATGGGCACTTCCATAGGATGACGCTTGATATCCGAGCTCTGTCAGCGCTGGTGCAGGCACGCGTTCCGCGATGTGATGGCGAGACAACGAACGCCGGTATCAAAGGCGCTCTCATTAACGAAGCTTGCGGTACCGTAGATAGGCCCAGAGCCAAGGATCCTTGGGGAAGCAGCGTCGACAGCAAGCATGCCTGTACGTAGAACAAGAAAGGGTTCGTCAGCGACATCGCCGCTAACGAGTCACCGTGCCCACTGGCGTAGGCCACACCATGCGCTGCTTTTGTAGCAATTGACGTGGCTGTCGCAGTCGATGGTCGCGCTAGGTGCGGCTGAATCGACGCAGGATTCTCGATGAGGGCGACGTCCTCCAAGGCCGGTGAAGATGGGCACTTCCATAGGATGACGCTTGATATCCGAGCTCTGTCAGCGCTGGTGCAGGCACGCGTTCCGCGATGTGATGGCGAGACAACGAACGCCGGTATCAAAGGCGCTCTCATTAACGAAGCTTGCGGTACCGTAGATAGGCCCAGAGCCAAGGATCCTTGGGGAAGCAGCGTCGACAGCAAGCATGCCTGTACGTAGAACAAGAAAGGGTTCGTCAGCGACATCGCCGCTAACGAGTCACCGTGCCCACCCAATTGAGGAAGTGTTAACATTCGAACAATATATCGTACGTACCACACGATGCAGCGTTATCCAAAATGAATTTATTTGAGAAAGATCTCAAATAACACAGCCACAGTCGACGACAGTCACATCTTGACGATCGGACGGAATCCGAGATGACTTCGTTTTGGGGCACGTTTTTGGGGAGAGCTTCCTTTTTTCACAACCGCACCAAGGCAAAGAAACAAGCGCGACTGACCTGTTTCTCACCCCAATCCGGACAACTGTTTTTGGAGATGACTGAGGATTCTGGATTCTACGCGGATTATCTCTGGGAGGGGGGAGAACAATGTTCGCAAAATCGCGTCGAGGGTCGTTCGACGTCCTTCACCTCCTTCGTTTCCCGTGAATGTCGAGCCGAAAAGCTTGAATGGCAGGCACTTACCAGCCTTATTTCTCACAATGGAAGATAACAGAAAAAAGGTACACAGCACGCATAAAAAAAATTAAGTGGAAACTTTCAAGAGGGACGAGGAAACGTCGAATGAAAAACAGCAAAAACGTAGGTAGAGAACCGCGCTGAGCGGGTCTTCACAGTCCCAGAGAGTGGCAGAAAATTTCTAGCTGATAGAGGGCGCGAGAGTCGTACCAGCAGCATCAGCATCAGCAACATGGCGGCGGCCTAGGAGCGTTTTTTGGAAAGGTCTATACACTCCGTGCGGGAACTATAGGGGGCGCTTTGAAAAACGCGCGCAGCGCCGCTAGCGGAGGAGCTGGCGTTCGACTGTGAGGCGCGTCCAGCAGCCTGCGGCGCCTTTTCGCGTGCCAAGCTGTGGCGGCGGAAGCGCGCACGGACGAAACTTGCTTTTTGAGCCGATAAGTTGAGGGTGACGTTGCATGAGTGCTGGGGCAGAAGGGCATTTAGCTGTTCTCCACTTCTTATATATTGAGTTTGAGTCGTAATTAGGGGTAATTTCTCTAGTTGCGGCCGAAAAAGGAGTTGGAGTAATTTTCCGAAAAACAAGACGGCCGCCACCTTCATTGCTCTGAGTGGGAAATTTATTTCGCTCGTCGCTGTAAATTTAGGACTACTGGAACGATGATATTTGGAGGCGAGTGAGAGGTTCACTAAGTTTGTGCACGAAGAGAGCCAAGTTTCTTTAAGACAGCAGGTGTGAAAGTTATGTTTCTAACGAATAAAGAAATAAAGCTGTACGGGGTATCCAATATTGGACCCAAAATGTTGTGTTATAGCGGGCTGTGCAAAGTGCAGATTTGGGCACACAGGTGCTTCGACTTGACAGTAACATGACACAGCACTTATTATACAAAAAAAAGGTGGCATAGGGAAACCAGGTGAAAATTTGGTTTGGGCGGCGTAACTCAATGGGAACCGGTTTTGATCATGAAAAGGCTGTCAAGAGAATACCACTGGTCGGGGGAGGTGAATACTTTAGAGGTACGTAGGGACTAGTGGACTGTACTTCCAATTGAAACAACTTTACGAAAGGTGGTTCCAAAGCCGAGAAAACAAAGTTGTCGGCCAACACACGGTTTGGCCGCCAAGGGCTTTTGCGGTCAGCTGTTGTGTAATAACCTGTTGTGCGAGGTGCTGATTTTCGGCGCACAGGTACTTTGACATGACCGTCACTTGGCACAACACTTATTATAACAAAAAGAGTTGGCATAGCGAAACCAGGTGGAAATTTAGTTAGGGCGGCGTAACTAAATGGGAACTGGCTTTGACCATCAAAGGCTGTGAGATAATACCACTCATCGTGGGAGGTGCACACTTTACAGGTAGGAAGGGACCAGTGGAGGGTTTTGCCAGTTGGTACAACTTTGCAATAAGTAGCTCTAAAGCCGAGAAAAAAAAATTGTTGTCTACAAGACTCGGGGTGTCAGCGTTTCCACATCCAAAAGGAGGCTGGTCAAGAAAGAAAGCACACCACATAAACTTCCATACTCAAACGTCGATTCTCCAGTGATTCCGAGTTTCATTGTTGTTTTCTTTAGATTTATATTTGTCACTTTTTTTACCTTTCGAATCTTTCTTCATGAAGTACAGATTGCGTGCCATACTTGTCCGGAAATATCATCGACCCGTACGATGGGGACGAAACTTCTGTGGAAGGCATTCCTCCAACGAAATTGGCACTGCATACCTGCGAGTGTGGGTTTGTCCCATCGGCGCTGACACATGTAGGCGTTACTGGTACGAAAACAAACGCAGAGCGCAAAGCGGCAGTGTAGAATATGTCAGCCGTGCCGACACAGTGGCAGACATGATCGGGAGACCAAATTTCTCACGTCGTACGGCACGGCTCCATCGTTGTCGCTGTCCTACAAAACATCGGCGAGGTGAAAAACTGTGAAACTTTGTCTCCACGAGATACGACGCATAACTATTGAGGCACTTAATGACACAGCACAGGCAGCACTTCATGCTGTGAACCCAGCGCAACCGCACCACTCCGACTTCAATGCGTACCAACGTACGCGGCGTGGTTTCGGTTTCGTTTTCTCTGGGCTTCTCGCTGCCTACCTTCGGTACCGGCCGCGCGGCGGCGCGCCAGTCGCGTCGCACGGAGTGTATAGAGACTGTCGTTTTTATCATCTGTAAGCAGTGTGACCCCGGATTTAAGTATTCAGCAAAACATATTTTTTCCTATATGTCCAATTTGCAGATAGTGGAAACAATCGATTTAAGCTGCTTAAGCGCAAGCGAATTATGCCTGAAAATTTGCCTGGGGTCATTTTGTCCGGCTTTGCGCTTGGGGAAATTTTGTCCAAGCCATTTTGACCGAGACTATTCTGCCTCCGGTGCAATTTCAACCGAGACCACTTTGTCCGGAACTATTAACTTTATAAACAGTGCCTGCGCATGTCTTTCTCTGCAACCTTCAAGAATATCCATTCATTAGAATTTCAGGAAGAGGCAAAGCCAATGACGAGGCACCGATTACGCCGGAATGCAGAAATAAAATCTTTTTAGATCAATTTCTTTTATTTTAAACGTTATTTTTGTTTTGCCATTCGTCGGCTTTTTTCGCAAGTCCAAAGCGGTTCTGGGTTCCGTGGGTTCTGCGAGAAAGCAGGCACGCAAATCTCTTAGTAAAAAAAAAAAAAAAAATGTGAACTTAATTTCGATTAACTGTACTTATTTATCTTTCGGCCCTTCAGACTGCGACAGATCCCCGATCCGTCCCTTTGGCCAGAAAGGTTTGGGGACCCCTGGTCTAATGAATTTCACAAACGAGCACCCATTTTGTTATCGCAGTCGGCACCCCGATTTGAAGGGCCGTACTGCTCACGGACTACACTAAACAGACTCAATAAGTGTGCGCGCCTGTAGCGATCGTGTTGACGTCAAACCTGTTCCGAGGGACGAACGTCAATGTCATTGTTATCTTTTTTTCTTCTTTTTTTTTTTTTCTGGCAGAAGAGAAGCAAAAACTACCAATGCGTAGGTGTGCGATCACAAAGATACGAAAGCAGCGATATTCTCGTCACACACCTGCGCTGTGACGGGAATGTGCAGGCTTAACCAATATTTTCCTGCGGTCCGTACGGTAAGTTACTGTTTGAGAATTTACTTGGTTAAAGTTCGATTTAGTTCGAGAAAATATGTATTTATTTTACAGTTGCAAATACGAAGAGAAGAAAGTAATATGCGTTTCTGCTACAGTTCCTGTTGCCGTTGCCTTTTCGTTATTCTTTAACTCACATCGTATACGACATGAATATTAATATATATATATATATATATATACTGTAGACCAATCCAGCAGCACAGGTTTACTCCATGGGTAATAAATAATATACGGGCATTCACCTCGCGCTTTAGGCACGTACTGTACTTCAATATATTTCGTCTGAAATATATATTTTTCTTTTGCTGGCAATTCGTTTTTGATCTTGTCAAACAAGGGATCAACTGGCACTGTTGACGCAACGGCTGTGAAAGCACCCTTGACCCCGATATTTCTATTCCCTCACCGCTACTTCTCAGCAAAAAAAAAAAACAACAAAAAAACATGATAACATTTGGACAAAGTTCAAAACAAATCGTCGTTATCTCTATTTTTGAACATTGCAGTCATTATATGAATTCCATTTGGTATTCTTTAGCAACGATTTACTGCGCGTGCTCTCGTTCAGCAGTGGGTCGTTGCTCATGCAACGACCCACTGCTCAAGCGACAAAAAGAGCTATGGCTCTTCAACGACGAAGGGGGATCAGAAAGGAGGTTTTTGTTGTTTCGACCATCGCTTCATAAAAGCAAGCTGACTATGCTTGCTTTTATGAAGGAGTGGACAGGTAAAGCGCCACTATGAAAGATGCCCTGTTCTCGTTCTCGTCCTCTCTGTTTTATTCTTTCAAGTTTTGTATCGCCACTATAAACATCTCTTCGCGTCCTCGTTTTTGTGGCAGTGACCAACTCGAGGTAGCGCAGTTCTTTGGGTCTAAATGAGTATTTGAGGCCCTAAAAACCCCGAAGAAGCCAAGGCAGAGAGCGAGATGCGACCATCTTCGACCAGAGTCTGGGTCCCTTGGCCCGGATTGGCGGAACGAATACTAAAGTTAGGCTTCGCTGCTGGTTGTTCGGTTTTAGAGCGCAGCTCTTAGGTGCCCGTTTCCGGCTTGGGTGGCGTTGCCGTTGCCGTCGCGGTCCGCGTCGCCGTCGGCGTAACCGCGCGGTGCATTATGGGTAAATTTTCCCGCTAAATTTGGCGAAAACGTTTCTTCGCTATATTTTGCGGAAATTTTTCTCCGCTAAATTTAGCGGGAAGTATTTCCCCGCTAAATTTAGCTGAAAAATTTCCCCGCCAAAATTAGCGGAAAACATTCCCCGCTAAAGTTAGGTCACGTGACCCGCCTCAGGTTACGTGACCCCCCCCCTGGCGTCACGTGACCCCCCTGAGGCCATGTAACCGCCCTTGACGTCACGTGACCCCCCTGAGGTCACGTGACCCCCCTTAGGTCACGTGACTTCGGGAAGTCACCTATCCCTCACTACC